AAAGAACATTGGCAACAGGTGCGCAGTTGGGCGGCGTCTCAGAGTGACTGAACACTGATACGTTGTCAGGAGGAATTGCACCCCGCATGCCACAGCCATTATGACGGGGTTTCAGGCGCAAATTTTGCGTGGAAATTTGACAAGCCCGCAACAGACGGATTAATGAACAACGTTTGGTGGCAGAAGGATGGCGCACCTGCACATCAAGCGCAATCGGCTCACCCCTACCTGTCCGAGACATTCGGTGGACGTTAGATGGGTCGCGGTGGTCCGACAGAATGGCCTGCGCAATCACCGAATTTGAATCCCATGGACTATTTCCTATGGGGATAGTTAAAGCGCAGAGTTTAAAGAATTTAACCCAACAACATGGATGAAGTTAAAGAGAGCACAGTGAACGAATATGGGCAGATTCCGTTCGAGACCTTGCAAAAGATCCTCGCCAGCACCATCCGGCCAATGCTCCTCTGTAGCCGAAACGACGGAGGGCACTTTGAACCTCTAATTCGTAGATATTTACAGATATTTCACATATTCCATGTAAATACATGTAACAAAGTGAATAAACGTATAATCTCGGTTGTACATGGGAAACACCATCGAAGGCCTGAGCAATTTGTAAAACTAGCAGTTGTCTGACTGACAGGGCAATAGTTGTGTACATGACTAAATGGGTATGCTGTCTAATGGAGCCACCATTGCGGCAGGGCAGACTGAAAGCTAAGAGCGTTGTCACGTCACGCCAAGCCAAGTCAAGAATTTTTTTGACGCACCTGTGAATGGTGAAATGTCAGCCATCGGAACGATTAAGTGCACAACACTGTAACCTTACAATGTGCTCCTGGCAGTATGACTCTATTTAACAGCGAAAGCAGCCTAATAGAGGTCTGTGTTTTTTTGAAAGCCAGTCATGAGGTGATCACAGCTTATGTGGCGATACGGCCACCATCGACCGGTCATCACATACGGATCAGCTGCTAGCACAACGACCCAATAATCACTTCGCAGAAAACCCTTTTGCTGGCATGTCACCTGCGTAAAGGTCGACTACCGGTCGATCGAAGCATGACACGTTCAGTGCGGCTACGTGGTGTCTGGCTCATATCCAGTTCTCACAGCCGAAGTGTTTGCGGTGCATTGGTCTTTCTTTGCGGTCGAGGCATGAAGAATTCATTGACGCTGTGCTGTTTGCTAACGTTCAATTCTCACAGCCGAACAGCTCGGTGTTCTCTGCGATTCTAGACGCACGTGCGGGTGTCTGTGTCCAATCTCACATTTGTCGGTAAAGCAAGTTCCGCCATTGGACAGTTAACAATCCAGCGTATCGTTGTACGTCAGCACTTGAGTGCAGCCACTTCTATCTACGGATCGGATTATTAAAACTCCCTGCACGCTGCAGTGAGTTCGAGGAATGAAATGGGGACCAACCCATCTATTTTTTTAATGGAGTAATCAGCATAGACGTCTTTGGCTTCCGCGATTCTTTAATGTATATGCATTTTGTTGTACTGTACGTTTTGCAGCTGGTAACCGACCAGGAAGTTCCGTCGCTGCCGTCGCTTATGGCCCAGTGTCATAAATCTCTGGCTCTTTCTCTCTGGCTCACGGATTTGGATATGGGGTTGTCCGGTCGCGCATTATGTCTGTAAGAGCTGTTATTTATTCCCCAGCAACTCCCGAAGTCTGTATTCTGACTGAGCAACTGATTACTGGGATGGCGGAATATCGTACAATTTTGGAGCTGTTCAGGAAGCAGCGTGTGCATTTACATGCGATCGAGCCTGCTATTAGCTATCATGTAATGTGAACTTTTGCTGTAATCGAAACAATTCCGTTGGACCAACTCAGCTGAGGTGGAAGAGGTGCAATCTTCCCAATAACTACATGCTAACAATTAATCTTTCTATGGATGTGCAAGTGCTTCTCATAAAGCTAACCTTCGCACTTATCCCGCACGCAGCCTGAAGTCTCGAAACTATGCTAAATTAGACATTAAGCCCGATGGTGTCGGTCTCAAGCCATCGGACGTACCACCATCGATGCTGCACTGGAACGCCTTGCTACTGATCCATCTCAGGAGAACATTTATACTATCGCCGCTGATGTTAACATTACAAAATATCTATCAATATCTGTTATTGAAGCAAAGTTTCCCTCCGTTGAAATTCTTGCTGCATCATTTCTTACCATCATGGACGCTGCTCCACTTGTAATGGAAGCAGATTCAGCTTCTCCGATTATCTTTGTGAATTTCCAGTTTCACGAACGCGACCTACCCAGCATACTTTACAGCCCACTTCACTTTTGTTTGCGATTTACGGTGGAAACAGCTTAATAATATTAGGATTCATTATCTTGCCTTTACAGCTACATCCGGTAGCCGGTGATGTTGCGGTGTACACTTCGTCAGACAAGAAAGGCACTTTTTGGAAGCAACGCCATGGTGACTTTGCAAGTAGTATCAGTTTTTTTCTTCCGTCAACGTGACCTACTGGCATGAAAGTTATCCAATTTTTTATAGCAGTCCATCTGACGGATTCCATGTGGTGTGCCCCGAGTTCACTTGAAGCAGGATGAAAAACCCGTTGCCACTGGGCAACCTCGGCCCATTCCGCCAGCAAAACGTCAATCTGTCTCAGCGGCCCTGCAAGAGATGTAAGCAAATGATTTGATTGAACCCGTCGACTTCTCAGTGTGCGTACATCCAATGGTACGTGTCCTGAAAAAGGATGGCAATGTAAGGATATGCAACGATTTGCAGGGAATAAATAGGCGAATCGTTGTCGAACGATTCGTGTTAGCAGCCAACGAAAAACTCACTGTACGTTTAGCTGCTGCAACCGTTTTTCCAGGCTAGGTTTGCATAATTGCATTCTCCCATATGCCATTGGCCAACGATCTGAAGCATCTTACTGCCTTCCTTGCTTAACGATGGCTTATTTCACTACAAAGTGTTGTCAATGGGTTTGAGTTCTGTGCGCGCTGCCTGGCAAAGGTGTATGACTCATGCCTTAGCAGGTATTGTGGAGCAGGTTGCAAACATGGATGATATCTGTTTTCGGACACTCACAGTAAGAGCATAATGAATGGTTACACAAAATCCCTCGATGTCTCAGTGACCTTGATTTACGTTCGAATGTAAAAAATATCGATTCACTGTCTCCCAGATTGAATTTTTGGGACATGTCATATCGCTTGGCGGCATTCGCCCACGCAATCGTCGAGGCACCCACACCCAAGAATATGACAGAACTGAAACGTTTATTAGGAATGTTTTCTACAAACTGCATTACTTGCAAAATTTTGCAACTCTGGCAGATGCATAACGAGAAGTAACAAAGAAAGGAGCGTCGTTCACTTGTGGAAGCGATCAGCAAAATGCTTTCGATGAAAAGTAGGGTTGCATCTGCGCCCTTAGTCGCTATTTTTGATGAATCATGTCGCACTTCTGGGTTGACTGATGCATCTGATGTTGGTATCGGTGCTGTTCTGTCACACCTACAAAACGGAAAGGAAACGCTATTGCCTACGCATCTCGGAAGCTCTCAGATTCTAACGCCATTATTCAGTTGGGGAGAAAAAAGCTCTGGCTTGTGCGCACGATTTTTAAAAATGCATCTTTTCCTATTCAGTCGTCGTTCCACTCTACGAACTAAGCACTCGGCCCATACAGTCCTCCTCAGCAATGGATCTAAAGGAGCGCGTCCAATGTGTATCGGTCGTTGGTATGATAGACTCCTAAACTAGGATTTCCAAATTGTGTACCGGCCGTGTTTAAAAAATAAGTTGCTGATGGATTATCTCGCTTACCCTTTGGAGCTGGAAAATAACCAGAAGAGACTCAGAGAGGCAGTATTATTTTCCAGTCTTGTATCCCACCGGCCGGTTGTCTAAAGGGTCACAGTCCTGCCTTCTCATGCGAGAGTGTGAGTTGGAGCCTGCGTAAGGGACCGGGCGACATTCACAATATCTTTAGCACACGCGCAACTGCTGGTGGTTGCGCGACAGTGAAGCGTCGGTACTGCATACTGGCGTATTACTGACAAGTACACACACATAGGTCTTATTATGGCAGAGAAGATGCGAGTGATGACGTTTACAGACCACGTGCAGAAGCTGCGTTGGAGCGCCCAAAGCATGTGCGGTCCGCAACTAAATAGCACATTCGACTTCGGAACCTGAGATGGAGAATGCGCTAGCGGTCCGTCATGCACAGAATTTGCACCCGAGTCGAGCAGATTATTTGGGGACACGTGTCGGCTCACAGTAGTGTTTTGCATTAATCAACTGGGGTGCTGACACCTTGCGGCTCCTCAAAACCGGTTGATTCGATCCCATAAGGATGTGTGCGGACTCAATCAATTTCCCACTTTAACTCAAGAACAGCGCTTTCTCGAAAGCAAGCGCTTGAACTTTTCTAAATACAAGGTGGCCTGTGGTCGATAGGAGGAACAGTTCACAGGTTTAGACAATATAGTTTGCATGTAGACACTGAATTCAAAGCTATCTGTTAGTAATTTTATGAAAGTTCATTATATATGGGTAATTGTGTCCTGTATTTGGAGTTTCTACCAGAATAATTTCGATAAACGTGCCTTCAGCTATACATTATCTTGAAATATACTTGGATTTTACTTAGGAATCATAATTTCAAGGGTCTTTAGACTACAACTAGGTTTTATGAAGGATTATATTGCGACTAACTTTTGCTATTGACACAAGAGACGGGAGACCAGGTCTGAAGAAGTTCATGCGCTAAGAGCGAAAGGTAACCGCAATACAAGACCTTACAAAAACCGACTTGTGTTCTACAAACCCTATCCGGATGGATTGAAATACTTGATACAAGCAAGAATGAATTGAATTAGTTAACAGGTTCAAGATGAATAAACGAAAGATAACACTTTATAAATGCCAATGTTTCTAACTTCTTCCTTTATTAATAGCTATGACAAGGTTCGAAGATCATCAAGAATTAATTGACTCTTGGAAACTGTAACTTACTTGAGGGCCACAACGACGATACGATATCCAGGGTAGCACAACTCCTTGACCAGCTAGAAATGTGACAGGAATTTTGAGAAATGGCACTTAGTTTGGTTCACGGTAATGGATTTTGTATCTGTGTAGCCTTGTAAAATGCACATAGTATTGTGAAGAACTTAGTTACTTTGTACAGTGCCGCCGCTAAAGCGCCGATCCAAAGATTCACTGAGAGCAGAGGTTTAACTGAGTTTGAGTGAGTGAGAATTATTGGTGGTTCTACGGTAGACGGGGGAACCTTTATTCTGTTTGGTGTATTGCCAAGTTGGGTTTTAGTGGTTATGTTACTTATCAAGCTTCCACTTGTTTTAATGCTTGTAAATCCCAATACTCGTTTCCGCTCAGTGACTCGTATGCTATGCCACTTTGTGAGCTTGCTGCTTTGCCGTTCATGCCTCGTAGCTTTTGCAGAACAGGTCGAATCCAGTTGTTCATCCGTTTGTTTCTATTCCCTCTTTGATTGCTTTTTACGCATCATGGCTGTCGGTTAGTACTCGAATCACGCCCTGTGGGTTATGAGCAAGGCGACAGTAAATATTGACAAGCCCTTTAATGGAGATCCAATAAGAAATGGCTAATTTATGATGATTTACGCCTTACTGTTACTTGGTTGCTATCTGTACAACTAACGAAGAGACAGTCACGAAGAAAAAAGGCGCAATGTCTAATCTGCAACAGCAAAAAAATACTCGGCCATATTCGCATTTATTCGGAAGCATTCACAGATAACCATGACGGGGATATTCTTCACTGAATGCAAAAGACAGTCATCTCTTTAGCCTGCAATCAAATGTACGCCCGAAAGGATGCGGACCGTGCGCCATGAGTCAGTGAAAAGAGTCACGCAGAGGCGTTTGTGTCCCGCATTTTAGCTAGAAAAAGTGTGCAATCCAACTCCCATCCAGCAGTACTCACAAAGAGGCGCGCACGATATTGGTCTACGGCTCAAAACTGGGAGCAACGGGTCAACAATCTGTTGATATCCAGCTACCACAAGTCGCAGAGCGTCATGATTTCTCCCTCTGGAATATATATATATATATATATATATGTTTGTTTGCGTGCCTGTACGTGCGTCGGCTGTCCTGCGCCGGCCCATCGTGGAATGTACAAGGCATCTGCCTTTTAACCAGGAAGTTGCGAGTCCGAAGCTGCGTAGGGGATCAGGTGACCCTCGCTTTATTCTTGGCCCACACGCTTTTGGTGATGGTTGCTTGGCAGCGTAGCGTCAGTAAGGCTTACCGGTCAACTGCTGGCCTCTACGGACCTCATGGCAACGAACCCGGCCCATGCGACTCTTCAGGGGTCCTCGGTTAGTCATATATCCTCTAAATGGCTGTGTCTTTAACAGTTACGAAAAACTTTAGCACGGCGCTGAGCAGCTTCCCAGTAGCCCTGTCAAATGGCGCACCACTATGCTTTCTGGAGATGTCAATGCACGGGCCGACTACCTGTTGGCATATACACCTCTACTTGGTATAAATCACTCACTCAACAAGAGCCGCCGATATCACGTGTACAGACTTCTCGCAGACAGCTAACATTATGCGGAACCACGCACCCGTTTTCTTCGAATACCAGCTTCAAGGATATTGGGAAACCTTCGACAGCTTAGCGTCTATGGTGTTCCATAAGCTAGTGGCCGGCGTTTGTCTAGGGTATGACGATCACATATTGGTATCCCGCTATATGCTTGAAATGGGCCGGCTCCGTTGATGAAACGTGGTTGCAATCCACATGCCTCCCGGTCTTATTCCTTCGGGTTTCCACTGGATGTGGGGTGTATGATTGGAGCCGTGGGTGGTGCAGCGCAAGCCACCCATGGTCCATTTGTAGGCGCAGGCGTCCTGTGGAAGCTCCACAGTGACAGGCAAATCCGGAAACGGATGCCGCCAACCATATGCCTGAAAACGTACCCTGCATTCAGAGCCCTACCAGTAGCTCATGTAGGTTTTGGCGTTGCACATAGTTTGGTTTACCAACCTACTCTATTTTGTCCATTGTTAAGGAACATAGTTTCGGCAATATCTACCATTATTCTTTGAAGCACACCACGTAAATGTTATTAACCATGTAGAATGGGAGCGTTATTTAACGCTAGTCCTCTTCATTTTCGAATCGGTGGTCATCCTGATAAAGATGTAAGCATGGGCTTTCCAGCTTTCGAGTGTAGATCTTCGTAGGTCAACTCTCAAGAGGCAGCATGCGCAGCTGATATAAAGTTGCTCTCTAATTTCCTTCAATCTATGTAACTAAGTACGGCATTTGATTTTCCCCTCAATGTATAAAGTTGTACTACAGCAATAACACCCCCGTTTACGTGCTAACCGTTGAAGTTGCGAATCTTCAACAAGTTGCCAATTTTTATACCGGTAAGGCTGTTTTTACTGATGATCGGATTTTAAAGTACATTACCCTTTGTAATCGACAAATCGACTGGAATTATCTTGAAGCGAACTCGTTTCCATCGGAATCAGCAAGGACAAGCCCGACTCTGGAATACGGTACTATTTGCAAACAATTAAACAAAATAATGTCACAATACCTCCATAATTTGCACTTTCAGCACAGGGGTCTCAACAACAGCAACCATTCTAAACATCAATGTGCATAGTTTCAAGAAACACGTGGAAATGAGCTCGTCTCAATTCACTGTGACTCAAAATGCGATTACACAAGATCAAGCTGAAAAAGAGCCTAGCACGAGCTGTGTGAGATTTTAGAAGCGGTGTATTACGTACAGTGATGGCACTGTGTTTTAATTAATCACAAGAGGGAGCAAATAACAGGCTGTATGAACCGAGTGGTTGTCATGTGGGTGACTTCTACCCGCGTCAAAAGTATAAGATTGTCAGGTCATTCATACAGCGCGGGGCAATGTGAGAACAGGGATCACTATGTGGGGCCATAGTGAAGTTTGCTCTGAAATTAGTGGAGTGGGTCAGCCCCAGCCTACAAGTGCAAAATAAGTAAGTAGTTACTTAAACGTCAGAACACCTAATATGCGCTGAGAGCGAGGGAAACAGGATTGGTTCGGGAAAGGAAGGGTTGGGTAAATGGTAAAGGGAATAAAAACCAATGAATCATTGAGTGGGATGAAGTTATTACAAGATATCATCATCATCATTATACACATTGGCTTAAAATGGAAAGCACTTCAGCTATCGTGCCGCAATATATGAGAGAAGAAGAAAAAAGCCTGCAACCGGGGCACGTCAGCTCTGCCACCAGTAACTGATGGGTACCGTTCCGGTAAGCCACCTGCCGGCACTATGTCGTGAAAAATTATAATGTGTCAAATTTATAAGATGCTAGAAATGAGATCATGCTTGGAAGGAGAGAGACAAAGCAACCCGCAACACAAATGCCAATGGATAGGGCATTCGTGAATCACACAACTCAAAATTTGTCCTTAATAGCAGGTTTCGCTCCTGTGTATTGCTTGGAAATACATAGCACCTGTTTTCAAAGTTTACTGTATGACAGCAACCAATGATATATTCAGTTAGATGCACAAACCATATAGCAGTATTTCGTTACTGTGTATGCAAGAAGAATTACTGCTGTATGGCAACATCGCCTTGATGACAACGATGAAACCAAAGGTAATGTCTTGGAAATAAGCACAATTCCCACCAAAGCACCAATGTTGTTGCACTCGTATAGATGTGTCGGCATATCTTAAGCGTTGCACGCAAGTGTTTAACGCATAACGCCACATTTATTTTTGCGAACTCGGAGTCAACAGGCTTGGGTGGCGTTCGGCCATCAGCTTGGTGATCACACGTGAAATCGCTGCCTGCATTCTAACTGCTATGCATCCAGTGCGTCTCCTTGGCTTGTGGTTGTACCATAAGTACGTTCAATTGTCAAACGCGCTTCAAAATCCGACGCGCAGACAAGGCTTTTGAAATATCCTATGAGATTGCCCCGAATCAGCTGGTTAGTTATACAGCCCATTAAATGGACAAAACAGAAAACCTCATACGGTGAATGGGCACATATTAGATAGTTCTTCAGTAATAACTGCACGCAATACCCCATCTTGCTTTTCCTAGGTCTAACGGCTTCATGCCTTTTCTGTGGACTGTTGTTAACATAGATATGCATTTTGCCTCCGGCAGTGATATATAAAAAGAACACCACAGACAAACATTTCGTCTTCTCATGACAACTCATGTACTTTAAGGCATCTTCATACTAAGGCAAAATGACAATCTTCTTCCGTAACGCCGTTGTCTAGCAAATTAGATTAATAAACAGGAATACACCAGGCTACACCAACAACCCAATATTAGCTGTCAGGTTGCAGCCCTCAGACCAAAGAGATTATACGAAATCAAAGGTATAATTCTATCATTCAGAACCGCATTCGCAGACAGACATGAAGTATTCAAACACTTGCTTTCTCCTTTATTCTACTTAGCGCTACAAGTCGTGTCTTTGGATGCTAAACATAGCTATCTGGTCATGATTTGTAGACGTTGCCTTTAGCATCAGTGATTTACATTGTAGACCTTTATACCTCCTTGGATCCCCAAATATCTGCAGCGGCCCATCGATGCGTTTAACAACAGTTCATCGCATACAAAGCCGGTTTCCTTATAAATGCATCTACATATTTTATACTGCTCTTACTTACCTGATCAACTGTGACCGACAGAGAGGTGTCAACTGCCTCATAACGAAAATAACCGGAACAGTTCACATTTATCGTCTCCATATTCACAACGTCAGTCGATGGACTAACTGTAGGTAACCAATTAATGAATACAATTGTCAGATGAAATAGGACCATGCATTGTTCAATCTAATGGGAGTAAGAAAAAACATTAATATAATTGGTCTGGATGATCAGGTTCAAGGAAGAACATTGTATACTTTCACTTATAGCAAAATATTTCGAAAGTAAGACTATCGCTGTGTTTATACCTACGCTGCTAGCATTACTGCGGTTGTATTGGCAGCGTAAAACTTGGAACGTTTGATCTACAGAGCTAACCGCGGTTAATTAGCCTTAAGTGCTGAGGCAGTATCAGCCATATCTCTATTCGTGTGATAAAGTTCGTGACATTGGTAACAGCCTACTGCACTGTATTATCTAGCTAGACACAAAATGCCCATCTTTTCAAGCACTTCGTTAGCACAACATTTCAAGCATTTCTCTTTGTTGATCACCTCACTATTCTGATAAGGTTTTCATCCCAATAGTTCACAAGCTACATAGCAGAGCCTAGTCCGGAAAAGTGCCAGACGCGTTTCCCCCTATTGGGGCTCGTCGGTGCCGCGCATTCCCTCGGTCCTCTAAGGATGACCGAACCCATGACCGCTAGAGGCAGATGCCAACTAACCAGCAGCTCAAGCCACCAAGCCATGGGAGACGTTGGCTCTGCTACTTAAGTTGCAAACTAACTGGGATGTAGCACCACCTCTCTACCAATGTCACTGCCAGTGGTTAGCCTGCGAGGCGATGACGTCCTCTCACTAGACGCTATATCCATAGCATTTGAAACTAGGACAGACGATTTTGATTTTCATTTTATTACTCACAAGTAGCAGAATTTTAGTTGTAATTCTGATAAGGCTTTCATCCCATTAGTTCACAAGCTACATAGCAGAGCCAGTTCCCTTTAATTTTTAAGTGCAAATATCTAAAGTGGTCCGATAAAACCGCTTCTTTGTTTGCGGTTGGGGAGTTGACGAAGAGTCCATGAAGTGCAATCTTCGAACACGCAAAAGAAAGGTTTAATTAAAAGAAACTTTATTAATTATCGGGTAAGGATGCTGGCAGTTATGAGTAGTTGGACTGAATTTGAAATGTTGCTAGACACTTGAATACGATCGAAAGGCATCATAACGGAAAAATTTAAAAACACTTAGTTGATATATTTATTTTTCAACCTTTCACTGTTGACGCAAAACTTGCATCAGTCCAGATGATATGGGAAGAACTTTACATGATAACGCGATGTCCGCCCTAACTCAATCACCTCGAGGTCTGTGCAACCTTGTTATACATCTGGTTGAATGGAAAAGTGATAGATCCAAACCAAGTTGACCCGTCACGATGCAATAGGTAAGGAACAGGTCATTTCGGTATCGTTGATATTGCGGTAAAAAGGAGTAATTTAAACTGTCGATCGAGATAGGGCATGCGTCTTAAGCCATATACTATCTTAGTGGCGGTCCACGATGGTGTGCTTGGGCGAATGCTAGACAGTGATAATCACGCTAGTGTTTTTAGAAAAACAGATAGCACTTAATCAGTTGCGTTGGCTTTGGCACTTACTTCCTTTTGCCTGGTCACCGCTCGCCCTATAGGGCCTAGTTTTGTTTGCCAGATATAAGCTGGTGCAAAGCCTGAGGTGGGCCAAAATTAACCTGGCAGAGGGAAATGAAGTCACCGGTGATCAAACTTGGTGCTATTGGTTCCTTTCGTGTTCTGTGAGGAAGTCCACGTAACCCGCCTTGTGCTGGGCTTCAGACTTTACTGGACATGACTCTAGTGGGCACAAATGTTGTGGTTGCTGCTGTCTCTTAGTCGGACTACCAGTTTAAGGGATGTTTGGTGCTAACTTATCTGCGGGGTAACGGCTGATTATGACGCGTGTCAGTGAAAGCCAAAGGAAACTGTCTCGCTGATGCCGGCTCAGCATTGCACGACAACCAGCTGTTTGTGACGGCATGTTATTGACAAGGTGTATGCAGCTTGACTCCGAATGTTCGACTGAAGCAATAAGGTTTTGCGCTAAGCATCTTTCCCTACCTATTATTCTTCTTCTTCCGTAGGTCGTTATGTTTATGCAGCAGTGAAGCATCTGCTCAAAATGGCTGCTGTGTCGTGGTTGCTGTTGTCGTTATGGCTGTTGTTATTGTTGTTAGAAATCCACTACATCGTAATCATGTCGCAAAAATATCAACGAGGAAAAGCGTGCTTTCAGTATTTTCAGTAATGCCTGATGAATTTAGCAAACAGACTGCCAAACATTTTACCTGCAGGGGTTCCGAACCATTGGCGTATCACTCAAAGCAGCCCAACTCCCTTACCGGCGGCTTTTGTCCAGTTTTCACTAGGCTTGAAAGTAGATGGCAAGGTGGTTCCAAAAATAACCTACTTCGTCACACGTGGCACCTTGCGTACGCATTAAACCTAAATACTTAGTAGCCTTTCATTCGTAATAAACACAGACAAACATTCATGGAGATTTAGCGGCAGTTACTACGGAACGGAACAGTCTCAGTGCCAGTCCAATGAACGCTTTAGGTTCTGGAAAGTCCCTACTTCACCGAGAGTACTCCAGTGTTACAGGATCAGTCAACCAGTCTTGAGCTGGATCGTCACGTATTTCCTGCAACGACTATCATTAGTCAGGATCCTGAACTACTTAGATGATCCTATACGAGTCGAGTCTGTTGTTCCTCAAGGCTCAGTTCTAAAGCTAGGATTGTTTGTAATATTTTGTAATGAGCATTTACAGACAAAAGCTATAACTTTCCTACTGTTTGCTAACGAGAACAAGCTTTGGCGCAGGATTCAGGCAAATGATGATCAGCATTTACTTACGTATGGTCTAGCAATGATACACCAACGGTCAACAAAAAAGACCCTACATTTTAACACGAGCAACTGCAAATCACTTTCCATATTACACCAGAGTTCCTATTCCTATGTGGGAGGAAAGCAGTATTGCATAATCCGTTCGGCAAACACGATCTTGGCCTGCTAGTACAGGTAACTTGGGTTGATCCAGGAATCCGGAAAGGCGTCGAAAAATGATAAGTTACACGTCAGCCTGCTACGATGGGCGTTCGGACAAATAGGCACCTCCCTGTTTAGACAGATGCACAATGCTTGTGTTCGCCGCCACGCCGAATACGCAATACTATCATGGCACCCTTGGCTGCACGACTGCTTGTCCGGGGAACGTGTAGTGTCCTAAAAGATAATTACTATCCCTCATGCACAATTACATTCCTGACCGATTAAACATTAATTCTAGTTGTTTTAGTCTTCCATACACCCGGCTCGACGCACTTTGCACGCTAACGTTTGTTCTTTCTCATTCCATCCGTCTGCGTCCATTGTATCCCATCAAATATATTACGCTGCGTGCGATTTTAATTGGCTTCAAATATCCGCGCTGAATTACGGACACAGTATCAAACTTGTAGTTCATCATCATCATACACGTTAGCCAGAGGTGGGGAACACCTCAGCTACTGTGCCGAAACACATAGAAAAAGAAAAAAATATGCAACTGGTGCAAGCCGGCTGAGCTACCGGTAACGGATGGGCATCGTTCCGATAAGCTACCAGCCGGCTACTGTGCAGCAAAAAAATTACTATACAAAATTATATAAGGTTAAATAATGAGACTTTGGTTGGAGGGGGAGGCTAAGAGGGATGGGTGGAACAAAGAAACTCACAGCATGAACGCCACTGAGGTCGGCTCCTAGCCAAATAAACAAGTGTGTCAAACCAAACCTGTTCATCGTCTTTCGGACCACAACCAGGGAGCCGAGTTGCTCCAACCGAGGCCAGCTCAGAAGTGAGGGCCTTCATTCCTCTCGACCAAGTCATCGCTTGGCCACCCCTCCTCTTCCTCCATCTACATCCCCGGCGCGCAAACATTGCACGTCGCGGGAGTCGGTGGGCTGGCATGCGTAACACGTGGCCGAGCCATCGGAGCCTGGTGCGTGAAATAACGGTGCTGAGCGGTTCAGTTCCTTTTCCTGTGCCATAAACAAGGCGTCGAACACGCTCGTTGCTCACGCGGTGTTCCCACCAGATGTGAGCCAAACTGCGAAGACACCGATGGTCGAACGTAACTAGCCTCTTCAGGTCCGCTGCTTTAAGCGGCCAGGTTTCACAACCGTACAGTAGGGGAGAACGTACTGCTGCATTGTACACTCTACCCTTCAAGGCAAGAGTGATGTCGCGCCGGCGCCATAAGTAACGAAGGTAAGCAAAAGCCCCCGAGCTTTGCTATACGGTTCTTGATCTCACCTTCAATCCCACGGGCGCTGATACAACTTCCCAGGTAGTTGAATTTTTGAACAACTTTTAGCTGATCCTCACCAACGGTCAGCGTAGGGGGCGGTCCAGACCAATCTTGGAGGAATGCTTTGCACTTCGACGGTGCGAAGCAAAGCCCAAAGTGATGGACAGCTAGTGCTAATCTGTGCAGTGCCGCTTGGCACGTTTGTGAGCTGCCACAGATTAGGGCAATATCATCAGCATACTCTAAGTCAAGAGGTCGCTCTCCTGGGAGTAGCTCCACATCTTCTAAGTCGTGTCCTGTGGACGCCACTTCCATGACTTCGTCAAAAGCGAAGTTGAAGAGGAAAGGTGACAGCGGGCATCTTTGTCTCACGCCGCCGCAGATATTAAAAGGCGACGACAACTTGCCGTAAGCCATCACTCTGCCCGAGCTAAGCGCATATAATGCTCGGATAATATTCACATATTTCTCACGGATGCCTTTCCTGAGTAGACAGTCTCAAAGTGCTTGTCTATCCACCAAAACAAATGCACCTTTGATATCGAGGAACACGACAACGGTGGGCCGCCAATATATGTGACGGTGCTCCAACAACTGACGCAAGGTGAAGATGTGGTCAATGCAGCCACGACCTAGACGAAATCCAGCTTGCTCTTCATGAATCTGGCTTTCACGAGTGCCAGCCAGTCGGTGAAGGATGACAGAGGCAAGCAATTTGGAGGCGATGGAGATAAGACTAATTCCTATAATGCTGCCGCATTCCGATCGTGAGCCTCCCTTGAAAATTGGGACTATAACGGAGCGGCTCCAGTCGGTTGGGACAGTTTTCTGCTCCCACAGCTTGACTAGTAAGTCGTGTAAATCATCTATAAGAGCAGGTTTCCTGAATTTGAAGAGAGCTGGAGGAAGATCATCACGTCCCGCAGCTTTATACAATTTCAACAGTTCGATCTCGGGTTCGACTTCTGAGCGAGAGGGTGGATTTAAAGGGATAGCACAGAGAGCAAGGCGATCAGTGGCCGGAGAGAAATCTAACCATTCCGACCGATTCAATTGCCTTTTAAGTTGCTCAGCTCAACGCTCTAAGCGTTTTAATAAGTTGTGGATAGGCTGTCCACTCTCGTCAAGTATAGTTTCACTAACACCAGGTCTACTGCTGCCTGTTTCCCGTATCAGACGGAATAACTCACGATGGTTACCAAGGGCAGCGGCCATTTCCATATCTGTTGCACGATAAGACCACCAGAATTTGCGGTCTCTCTTCAGGCTAGCACGGAGTTTTGCCCGGATCTCTTCGCGAGTTACGTTATGTTCGCTTCCAGCCGGAATATACCGGCGAGCATCTATAAGTTCCAGAGACTGTGAAGAGACCTAATGTCCATGTTGGCGACTAGACATACCAGTCCCACAACCAAATGACTAAGAGTGCATATAGCACTAAACCATTCAGAATATTGTTCGTTACCAAAACTAGTAAAATATTTGTGTATAGATTTGTTTGGCAACAGATATTCGACATTCAGCAATGAAAAGGCACAAAATGGCGTGTGAAAAAATAAGAATCAAGGTTACCGTTTTCCATAGCGCGGCAACTCAGTGGAATTGCGCTGCCCAGCTTTAGCTCATGTGCTATAATGGCGATGATAACGCAACTCCACTTATCATGCAATGAGTTTCATGGTTTTGGCTGTCGATAAGATTATTTGTTCGATCTCTGCTTTCATGATTTTCCCGACTACCCTTGGCTGTATCGGATAAACCTTAATGCCTGACTTCCATATACTTCACTGGAATGGACAACCAGGTGAATTAAGATTGGAACGCTTAAGAGCATTCATCGAACGGAATCGCTGACTAAGATTCGACTTGATAAAGGCATGGTTTAGTTTACACAGTCCAACTCTTGTGTGTCGCTCTTTAACGCAATTCAGCAGTAACACCAAACTGCAAGATCACTCACGCATAACAGCAGAAGAGCACCGCCGTTTGAAGTGCCGTAGCAAGTTAGGAGCTTTTTGCATGTGTCAACGTTAGAACGCTCTCTTCAGATAGGTGATTGCTGCACCTACACTACTTATATTTACAAGTCAGCTGGATGATGCTCTCCGCTACCTACCTTTTATTACTTCACACTGCTCTCTAAGCTACTCCGGAGAAATATCTAGAATTTTTCGCCCCATACAGCTAAGCCAATAATTGGAGAACATGGGTAAGGTTTTAATAAAATAAGTCTATACTTTTGGCAGCAACACAACTAACTGAACGGTTACGTTAAGGTTTTTCAATATTCAACCAGATCAACTAACTGGGCTTGTTAAGCGGCACTTTTTAACTTGTATGGACTCACTGTTCTTTGTTCCAGAACTTTAGCTTAGTTGCAAACGTTAGATATGGTGGGTCGTTTGTCTAAGAGGTGAACAGCAATGGAACAAGTACGGACCCCTGTGGTACATCGCCTGGGACAGTTTGTCGAATGGATAGATTCAAATCCAAATGAACATATTTACCCTATTTAGAAATCAATTTTCTGACGCAAAGCATACCCGGTGATGCTCCATGGCTGCAGTTTAGAGAAAAGACGGAATTGTGAGACGATGTCGTATGATGTTGCAAACTTGGTGAACAACACGCCGAACGCATAATCTTGCTGTACACTTCGGCCAAGAGTCATCCAGCAGTGGCTTTTGCGAAAGTCATGTGGAGGCGAGCTGGACAAGCCAACCTTCATCAAGTATGTTGAAGCAACATTTATCACCAGTGTCTCCAACAGTTTGATTATGGTACGCGTTAAAATAACGGAACTATCGTCATGAATTAGGCGGTGCTTCCCTACTTGGTTAAGTGACTTATGATTGTCGCCCTCTAATCAGAATTTCGGAACAACTGTCATGCACACCGTCCATACGATGCAACAGCTGCTTTGTAGAGTTACTTTAGGTGAAGCGCATCCACTTAGCTATTTGATGGGCTTTGGCTGCTGAAGAAACACAAGTAACTTGGTCACTGAATATAGTTTTCTGAAGAAATTATACCCATGCGAAATATGCGTACGCTGACTTTCAGGCTTAAAAACAGGTCATATTTGAATGATCCGCATGACAGAATGCGCTCAGTGTTCATCGCCCATAAGGTATGCATAAAAAGAGCCTTTATAGAAAAAACTTAGTAAACAAGTAATGGCTTATTTAATATATTATCACAATGGTGAGCAGCCAGTTAAAGCATGGAAGTTTGGGTGAAACATATTGAGGAATTACCCTGCGTGAAAGCAGGTTCCATAGCAATCGTTACTGTACCTAAACGTTTGCATTTTTTTGCTTCCAATTTCTTAACAGCTCAAATATCTTCCGACGACCAGTTACTTTAAAAACGCACTTGGGATGCGTTTTACAAAACACGAACAATTAACTATCTTATGCGATTTGGTTATACAATTTGATCGGACTAATTACCTGGATAGTGTCTCACACCGTCAAAAAATAAACCGATTATTTATTTAGTTATTCATTTGGCTGCAGGTAATAGACTTGAACTCACATTGCTAAAGCAATAAGCGGTACCGGACATTCTTAAGGAATGCTTCCGTACACCGGTTTTCTATGCGACTGTTCTACGCCTGAGAACTATGAGCAACACTGACGTTAGCAACGAAAAATCTAGAAATAGGAACTAAAATTGTTTCTTCTCACAACATTAACGGAAAATAACTGGGTTGACGGAAGCTCAGTTGGCCAACATCAACCCGTGGTTAGTCGGACTGCATGCGGGCGTTTGTAGACATGTCGTGAGGGAGCTGACAGATGGGTCCGCCACCGTTTGGTCCGCCTGTTCACGAATTTGTGCGCAAAGGAATCATAAAAGTTAACAACTTATAGTTAAGAACCCGTGTTGTTCACGATGTGTTATACTATGCAGTAATTCATTTAGACAGACAATTCTATTTCTTTTTTATTTGGTTTTCCTGTCTGC